CTTTTGTGCCCCCCCCCCCCCGGTGTGCCCACCAATTTTCAAACATAAATGCATTTTAGGAAGAATGAAAAACGCAACATTTGAAATTGCTAATTTCTTTTTTTTGTGAGAACAAGTAATACAATCTCTGATTTTCTCTGTCAAACAGAAACACACAAATCACAAAGCATTTTAAAAAATCCTGTTAATTGTGAGACAGTATATATTTCTGGTGGCATATTGTCCGGTTCATCAAAATTCGCTGAACTCCCAGACTTGACAGGCATGCAGTTACCCTGTCCTCGTTTTTAAAAAAGGTTCAGCTCCCCCATTTCTCATGATTTTTAGTATGGTAGCCAACCTCCAGGTGGTGGCTGGAGATCTCCTGGTATTAAAACTGATCTCCAGGCAATTCATTGTGTGCTCATGAGTTTGTGTGCTTGCCTAGAATTTTGGTACAGGAGGCCCAATCCTGCACTGTGAGGAGAAGTCCCCCTCTACTGGAAGAGCGCACAAGAGTAAGAGGACTGCTCCTTCTCCCCCACTTGTTTAGGAAGATACCGCCAGCCCCCTCCCCGAGCAGCGCCACCACAAGGCCACAGGGTGCCCCCGCCCCCGGAGGGAGGCCCAGGCAGCAGGGAAAGGGCTTGCTCGAGTCTCAGTTGGCCGCAGCAGCAGCAGCGCAGGCCAAACTTGTCACCTCCAGTCCCAGGGAAGGGCAAGGCGAGGCTGGCCCCAGCGGCTTGGAGGAGCCCCTTTCATCTGGGGGGTGGGGAGGCTCTCCCTCACAGCTGTGCCCAACCAACCTTAAATTCCAGGGACCGGGGGCACAGACTCCTTCCAAGTTCACGACGGTGGGCGGTGTGGCGAAGTGGCAGTGGGTGGCTGACGGGCGTTGTGTGCAGCACGTGCTCGACCTTGGTGGCTTCACGACAGAGCACATGCACACAGGCACTGAGGAACAGCGGGCGAGTGGAGCAGCGCACAGCCGCAGGGCTTTTGTTTGGTGACGCAAGTGAGGGAGGGGTGGGGCAGGACCCAGCCGGGTCGGGCAGCAGCAATGACGAAGGAGGAGCACTGGCTGCGCTGTGCAGGCACGGAGGCACACAGGCAGCCAAGCGATGAGCGGAGTGGCATGCACAGCACACTGTGGAGGCGGGGCTTTGAGGCGAGGGAGGGGCCGGGCCAGGCGGCAGCAGGCCAGCATGGCGCCCACCAGCAGGGGGTGCTCTAGGCAAGTGCCTAAAATTTGTCTGTGACGGTCCGGCCCTGGCCCTGGCCTTCCATGCCTAACCTCCCCCATGAAATCAGCCCATATCATCTGCCATATGCAGATAGCAGAATTGCGAGATTTGCCTACAAAGAGATAAATTCAATAAAACCAGGGCCATAGCTACGGCGGGGCATTTCAGGCCCATGCCCCCTCGGTCACAAGCCACATCCCACTAGCCCTGGCCCCAAAGGCAGGAGCACCAGCTGCACTCGTTTGCCTCGCTACAGGAGAAGGGGAGCTGGCTGGTGTGCTCTCCGCTCTGCAGCAGAGAGGGCATTCGGGCCTGCTCTCCTCCTCCCAGGCCAGGTACCAGCCAAGGTCAGGGCTAGCAGCCAGCTCTCCCTGCCCACACAGACCAGCCTTTCTCCACGTGCAGCTCCAGCGATGCTGCAAAGGAAGGCACTGTACAGCTTGGCTTGGGGGGGTCCTATCTCTGCAGCAAGGGCGCAAGCAGGAGTGAGCCAGCAAGAGGGGGGTCGCCTAGTGCAGAAGGGGGGGGGGAGAGGAATCTACAGTCCCAAAAAAGTGCAACCAAGCTGTGCATGGAATGGGAACTCAGATGCAAGGCAAATGAGTGCGGCCGGCACTCCCGCATGAGTTGGTAAGAATGCACCAGCCGGCTGCCAATGGGATATATCTCTCCCCTGCTCCCCCGGATTTCCCACTGCCCCACCAACCAAAATTTTCTGGCTACACCCCAGAATAAAAGTGAATCCAATGGCTCCAACAAACAACACACATAGGTATAACCCTTAAAGATTCTGCAGAATATCATCTACTACATCTTTTGACTGACTTGTTCCCTTCAGAGTAACCTAAATGAACAGGCCAACTTAAGAACTTGAAAGAAACAGGAAGACGTGTATGCAGGTGTGCAAGTAACAGCAGCTTGTCTTAGTATGGTACTGTGCTGTCTGTGTGTTCTTTATACATACAGAGAGAGTGTGATGTTGTATGTGCTGGAGAAGATGGCTTCTTCACTCTAGAGCAGCAATTTAATTAACTCACCGACACATGAGCCCTTTTGTACATGGCACATTTATCTGTACCACTGTGGCTATTAGCAGCCAGGAAGGACAATATTGGCATGGCATTGTTTTTGCATGATTACCCTTTTTTACAATGACCTGATGTTGATAAGCTTCAACAATCAAACAGACAGCACTGGATTATGAAAAAGTGGCAAAATGTATTTTATTTCTTGAGAGCAACCTTTTTGTTCACTACTGAAAGCATATACAAAATCTAATCAGAAGCAGCACCTTTTGCTATTTTTTTTAAAAGACAGACGTGGCAAATAGGCCACAGGCCAACAGAGGTAGA